AGTGAATTTCCCTATTGTGGGACAATAAAGGGATTTACATATATATTATATATATATCGTACAATTCTTTCCACATGTCCAACACTAACTTAAGGTGTTTAAATCTTTCTTTGTGCACAAATGATTTCTTTATGGATTTGAAATGAGCTTTAAAATTGACTTATCTTTATTAATTTTATGTTGCTACATATATACAAGTAATACTTACAAGTCATGACATGTAGAACAACTTATTCACAGGTGTGTCAGGTGTGCTACATGCATTTATTTTGTAGTTTATGGGTTTTCAGAGACCTCTGTCATTTCGTAGAAGAAAAACAGAATCCATATTTTCACATCAGAATACAATTCTAAATATGCATCTTTCTTTTATGTCCATTGTAAAACAACAGCTTCATCAGATGATAATTTTTTCTTTATTTTTTTCCTTTTTCTTCGAAAACCCTAAATCATAACAGTAAAAAGACATCAGTGATGGTCATTTCCATATCATCCACATCAAGAGAAGCAGAGAACCTAGGAGGGTCCAACTTTTGAGACTTCAGTGACCGATTGACTTGTGGTTGACTCCTCTTCGTCCCCTCCACTCATCCCCAGCATCTTCCTCATGCACGAGCGGAACTGAAACCAAAAGCAAGGATACTTTTGCTACTTTGCTTACTTCAGGGTACTCAAAATGGTATCTGGTTAACTTTCGTCTTCGAGGAATTTGTTTAATGGTAAGACTAAGGAACATGTCAGAAACTTCACCTAGCACCATTATTATTGGGGTTAGCATATCGCTAATACCTAATAGTCAAACAGACACAACTAGCAAAAGGTGACATTTTTAACACCTTTGTAGGTAATTTGTTATGAAGATAAATCTAAGTATTAATACAATACAGGAAACAAGTTCATTGGCTCGTCAAAAAACATTTTTTTTTTCTCAAACTTAGCACAGCTTCAGTCTTGCAGATACGACTACCGGTACTCTCTAATCTTTAAATCCCTCACATAAACCCACCTGTTTGTTGAGGATAACATAGATGACAGGATTGTAGACAGTGGAGGCTTTGGAGAAACAGGAGGGTATTGTTGCAAGTCTGAGGTCAAATGGTTGTCCGCGGTGGGTCACGATCCAAATAGCAAAGGAGGCATATGGCATGTAGCACACCAGAAAGCCAAGCACCATAACGACCACCATCCTTGTCACCTCCTTCTCTGCCTTCTGGGTGGAAGCAGACTCTGCCTGGGCCTTTGCTGCCTATCAAAACACAGATTGAATAAGTATTAAAATGCAGCAAGAAAGAAATATATATCAAATATTCAAATCTAGGTAGCTCATAACGCACTACCAACCGATTTCAGTGTGAAGAGCAGCTGCGAGTAGCAGAAGACAATGCAAGTGAAAGGGACAGAAAAGCAGAAGCAGAAGAGGAACATCACATAGGATTCAGTGTTGTACTTGTTTCCTGATGTGTACCAGTCTGGTCCACATGAACACTGCATACCCTCAGGGATGTACCTGTCAAAACGAACAAGATGCATTGCAATATACTTCCAGCCAATTATCAGGTCAACCATTTAACTGTGTTTTCCTCACCTACTCCATCCCACTAGAGGAGGAACTGTTGCGCACAGAGCAAAAAACCAAGTAAGTGCACAGAAGAACAAAGCATGTTCTGACTTAAAGGCAAAGTTCCCGAGTGGTTTGCAGATGACCAGCCATCTTTCGAATGCAATCACAGCCAAAGACCAAAGGCTCACCATGCCTGAGGAGAAACAGCACATTATTCACATACTGCACATGCTGACATACTGTTTATCAATGGTAAGGTGTTGCTTTTTGAAAAAGACTAATCCTTACTGAGCTACAGCTTGTTGTTAAATTCTCACTCCGCAAGAAATTTCACTTTAATCGATGAAGCATTAAATCAACTTTTACAAGAGTGCAATTATTCACATTGTCCTTTTCTTACCACCAACACCCGCAGTAAATCCTTCGATCTTGCAGCCAAGCGGACCAAGAGCCATGTATCTATAGGCAAAGCAGTAGAAGCAGGTAAAAGAGCCGACAGAAGAGACGATGAGGTTTGCCACAGCCATGTTGACCAGGATGTAGTTCAGATGGGAGCGGAGCTTCTTGTATTGAATAGTACATGCAATTGTGAGAATGTTGATGGCTGTGCCAGCCACAAACAAAAAGAACATTAATGCTGACATTGAATAAAAAAGCCCCAGGCTTCCTAAATGGTCCTGGGGAACTAGGTACGGGCTGTAAGCTGAGATGTTGTCGGTGTCCAGGGGGATGGGGATCCAGAAGTCCTCTGGAAATTCCTCTTGACGATTCCCCCTCATCTTCATTGGATTTGTGTTTTAAATAATAATTTCAATTGGATTTGAAATAAAATATGAGGTAAATGCGTATAATTTGAATCTAAACTTAAACAGTAGTACGATACATCATGTTTTTCCTGTCTTCTAAGTGAAATGGGCTGCTCTGTGTCTGATGCAGACTTACTGAAAACCTGCATTTATAGCCACTTTAAACGTTACTCCGGCTCAACTTAATTGGCTCAAACATGGGATTTAAAGCTTTACATGTATTCCCGTGACAACTTACACCACCTTTTAGCTAATGCTGAGATAAGTGTCTTAGTGTCAAAGCTCAGAGTTGGCTAGTATCTTCTCACTGCTTACCCATGTCTGAACCCCAGGAAATGGCTAATCCATTTGTTGAAGGCCACAGGAATAGGTGGTCCTCCAGCACGCATATAAACCAGCCTGTTACTACTTGTAGCTACGTTTAGTTAATATGAAATTAATTCATTATTTTGGTCGTTCAAGAATCTACCCCTTTTTTAAAAAAAAAATATAAATATACATGTAAGTATACCAAGGGATAAAATGCTTTGTTGCTCCAGTGAGCACTGTAGAGCATGAATTAATATAAAAGAGCAAAACATTATTATACCACCTATGATGGATTGTTTTTTTTCTGTTGTTTTTTGAGTTAAATAATCCATCAGAGGTGGATAATGTAACAAAGGATTGTGCTAAAAAAAAAAAGAGACGTTCTAATTTAATATAGTTTTACTCTAGAACTAGTGAGTAGTAGTCATTCAAATTATACAAATAATTTAGTATTTGGTGTAAGAAAGGCTGCTTAAGTACTGTGTAATTCTGTTTACCACAATTTATTTTGGGAAAAATAATTTGTTTTCATTCAGTGCTCTATGTCTAGGCGGGTAGATTAGCCAGATATTTATTTATGGAAGAGTTGTATTGTTTTAGAGTAATATAACTCCAATAAAAGTTCAAGAGTAAATTGCAGCGAAACTGCTATAAAAGGAAATATTTTCTAAACATAATTCACTACCCACTTCTGCTTTCATTGCATTGAAATGTGATGATGGGATTCCAGTAAATAATATCCAACTTGATTTATGCTCTGGTAACTATCTGTCAGAATGGCTCAGACAGACTATAACCAAACTAAATGCTAACAGGGCCTAAAAAAAGTTTCTTGTTTCTTATGAGACTTGAATGTTTTTATTTTTCTAAGTGCATAAAACATGAAAATACAGAACTACAAAGAACAATTAACATGGATGTGAAACGTTTTTTTTTATATATATGAAAACAGAGGGGAAAAAACTGAATTCTTGAATACAAACTGACTTTAAAATGGCCCCGTTTTTGCCAAAGGTAACCTAAATACAAATTAAAACTGATTATATATACTATTAGAAAAGCTTTTAGATAAAACTGTCATTTGTTTCTATTTTACAGGATAATTATGTGATATGTTGTTTTTTTTCTTGGATTGTAAAATTCTTAAAACATTTGATTTGATTCAGTGTTTACAATTAACTGCGGATTACTGTCAGACTAAGCTGGAGCAACTTTGGAGACTTCAGTCACTGACTGTGTTGTAGAGACTTCCTCCTCTGCATCTCTTATCCCCAGCATGGATAACATGCATGTTCGAAACTGAAAGGTGAAAAAAGGAAAATTATAGTAATGTTGAGCATTTATTGGAAAAGCATCAAGCATACATTGCTTCTCATTTAGCCGTTTCTTCCTGGACATTGTCTGCAAGAACCAAGAGGCATTTAAAGATGGCCTAGTGCACAAAAGTGTCTAATATAAGTAAAAAATAAATAAATGCAGTGTTATCATTACTGATTATAATAAATAGCGTGTTTATAAAAAGTAAGTCGTTGTTGAAGTTTTTTTAGCTGCTGTTCACCTGTTTATTGAGGAGCACATAGATGATTGGATTGTAGATGGTGGAAGCCTTCGATAGGCAGGATGGTATAGTTGCTAGTCTCAGGTCAAACGTTTTCCCTCGGTTGTTGACGATCCAAACAGCAAAGGAGGCATAGGGCATCCAGCACACCAAGAAGCCCAGCACCATGAGGACCACCATTCTGGTCACCTCCTTTTCAGCCTTCTGGGTGGAGGCAGACTCAGCTTGGGCTTTTGCCACCTGTTGAAAATGAAATCCGTTTCACTCTGACCACTGCATTCACTGAATAACTCAATAGCCAGAATTAATGTTTTCTCACCATTTTAAGTGTTAGGAGTAGGTTAGAATAGCAAAAAATTATGGTGGCTAATGGAACGGCAAAGCAGAAGCAGAAGAGGAACATGACATAGGACTCATTGTTGTATTTGTTGTTGGTTGTGTACCAGTCTGGACCACATGAGCACTGCAGGCCTTCTGGAATGTACCTGGAGAAAAAGCACTACGTGTTCTCTCATGGTTTAACAGCCTTGCTAAGCAAGTTTCTTACATTCTTAACATCTTGCTTACCTGCTCCATCCAACCAAAGGTGGAACTGATGCCACCAGTGCAATTATCCAGGTGACTACACAGCAAGCTGTAGCATGTTCAGGCTTGAAAGCAAAATTACCCAGAGGTTTACAGATGACCAGCCATCTTTCAAAGGCTATGACAGCCAGAGACCACAGGCTAACCATACCTGCAATAACAAAGAAGAAACATCATCTACTTTTAATGTCATTTTATTATAATCAAGCATAAAAGGTCACCTCAATTCTAATCTGTGTAGCAGCTAAAACTTACCTCCTAGTGTTGCAACGAAACCTTCAATCTTGCATGCTAGTGGTCCAAAGATGAAATATCTGAATGTAAAGGAGCAGCATGCAGTGAAAGAGCCAGTGACAGACACCAGTAGGTTTGCCACGGCCAAGTTCACCAGGATGTAGTTGAGGTGGGAGCGAAGTTTCTTATATCGCATAGTGCAAGCAATGGTGAGGGCGTTAATTGAAGTGCCGACCACAAACAGAAAGAACGTGAATCCCGCCATGGTGTAGAATGTGCTCAAATTGCCCAAGTGGTCCTGAGGAACTCTAAAAGGGCTGAGGGATGTGATGTTATCCGTGTCCAATGGGATAGGGATCCAGAAGTCCTCTGGCAGCTCTAAGAGTCGGGTGCCCCTCATTTAGCTTTGTTTCTGTTGAAAGCACTAAATGTAATGATAAAGGTTTAGATTTTAGAGTCAATCACAATGGAGAAGGCATACATGCTACCATGTCCGAATGTCAAACATACCTCTTTCTCTACTTCAGATATTTATAAAGAACACCCCACTTCCCCCATACAATACTACGTCATGAATAAATTGATTTGATAATTGACTAATTGATTGGGTTTTCCCATTAACTTATCTAAGTCATTTAGTATTCTTCCTACTGTGTTGCAGGTGGAGTTGCAGAAAACCTTTTGCATGTGTTTTAAATGTCTAAATAGACAATCAAATCAAGGTAATCTTGGCAATCTAATCTTGGAATAAGTCTGCTGATTTAGTGGGTTTTTTACTCAGTTATTAGTTGTGAAAAAGTTTCTTGATGCGTTTTTTTGCCAAATACCTTCTTTTCTGTGGAACTTATTTTTTTTCCATACAGAACCCTAAATAGAAAAGATCAAATCTACATGCATGTAGTTGCAGAAAGGTGTTACACGGTGCACATACTGTATCTTAAGAAGTTTGTTAAAAACCCGATTAAACAAGTTAATCCCACATTCTGGGGGAAATGCTCAGCAGGCCATTGCCTGTTAATCTGTTTGCCTGTAACATCATGTCTCATAATCCCATGCAAAGTACAGGATAATCTATCCCGCTACTTTATCTGTTTGTGTTAACCCTTTGGCAATTAGCCTTCGTCACAGAGCTTAGAGGATTCTTCCTGACAGAGTAACCACAGAAGTCTCCTTCTGACACAGCAGCAAAGAAGTTTTTTTTTTCTTTTCGCATTTCAGAGCAGGGTGAATGTGAAACAGATCAATAGATGGAAAATAGTTGCACATCTTTCACAAATGCATATTCACATTAGTTGGACTCTAAAAACTCTTCCAAGTCATTTTTTGAGGTATAAAATGCAACTGAGAGTGTAAATAAATCCTTCTGTGTGAACTATTAATATATATATATATATATATATATATATATATATATATATATATATA